ACAACAAAAACAGAAACAGGAGGAACTGGCCTGGCCCTACCCAAGTCCAACCTGCCTAAGTCTAACCACAGTCCTTTTGCTTTCACTTTTTGGCTTCCTGGTCCTCTTTCAGTTCCTCTAGGACTATGTTTCCTCTGCACTTCACTTTACATTTGATTTCTCTCTGCCCCACACCAGGCGGGACATCCACACCCCTTCACCTGACAGCTCACCTTCCAAATTAAATGCTGCCTCCTGTAGGAAGCCCTCCCTGACCCCGGCCCCATTACCAGTCCCTGCCTCATCTCTCTCCATTTCCCTCAAAAAACTTCATATTTCAGCCTCACCAAACTTCTTTCAGTTCCTCATGGGAGTGAAAAAAAATTTATTTTTAAATTGTGTGTATGAGTGTTTTGCCTGCACGTATGTAAGCGCACCCATGTCATGCAATGCTTGCATTATTTTTTTATTAAATTTTTGTGTATTTCATACAGAAAATCATCTTTATACCCTCTTCCCCTTTGGCGCCCTCCCATACCCCCCCACTGGAGTTCGTACGTTGTGTCATTTGTGTTAAGGCCTATCATGTAAAGTTAATGTCCCCAGATGTCCCTTGGTGCAAGTTCACCCACTGGGATCTAGTAGCTTGCCTAGAGTCCCTGCCTTTAAGATCAGCTCACCAGGCATGGTGGTGCACCCCTTTAGTCCCAGGACTTGGAAGGCAAAGGCTGTGAGTTCAAGGCCAGCCTGGTCTACATAGTGAGTTCCAGGACAGCTGGGGCTACAGGAAGACCCTGTCTCAAAAAGAGAAAAAAAAAAAATTAGCTCTTCCTCACCCAGCAGTAATCAGCTGACAATAATTCTTTGACTAAGATTTGGGCCTGGATTTTTGTCTGCTTAAGTTTGCATAGGTCTTCTGCATGCCAACACCATTGCTGTAGGTTTGTATGAGAAGGGTCCCGGGCTCCTATAGGACCTATGTCCTATAGGACATATGGTCCTGCACCTCCTCCTCAGCTCTTACAATCTTTCCATCCCCTCTTCCACAATGGTCCCTGAGCCCTGGGTGGGTGGATTGATTTTAATACAGGAGTCCTGTCCAAGGACCCACATTCTGCAGATTCTTATTCTTTGAGTTTTGGCCACTTGTAAAACCTTTTGCGTTCCTGGCCCTCAGTTGCACAAGGGGTTTCAATGATGAAAATTGAAAGATACATTAGTGTTCTCTTCATCCCTTGTTCTATTTCCATGAGCCGTAGGTATAGAGGTTGCATCCTACATGTACTGCCTAGACAATCTCTGTGTGTGACCAGTTGTGGAACTCTGTAACTATCTCTGTCTCTTGAAACAATGCTCGAATTTTTTAACGAGCTGGAGAAATGGATCAGAGGTTAAGAGTACTGGATGCTCTTGCAAAGGACCTGCGTTTGATTCCCAGCACCCACATGAAGGCTAACACCCCTTCCTAGCCCATGGTGGATCCTCATTCAGTTCTGGGAGATCCAACGCCCTCTTCTGGCCTCCATTGGCATTGTACGACAATGACACAAGTGCTTACATACATGCAGCAAAACTCAGACACATAAAAGTAAAATAAATTTCAAAATAAAAATTTTTTAAATGTGGTGGTGAGGTTGGGGCCCAGGTCCTTGCTACATCCCCAGCTCCCAAAATGTAGCACATGTACTGGCTGGAACACTCCCCCATCGCCCATTCTCCTATGTCATGTTCCCCTTCTCCCAGGAAGCCCTCCTTGCTGGTTGCTGATCTTGAGGCTGGGTCAGATACCCCACTGAACTCTCGAAGGTTCCTGAACTTTCTCCAACTCACAAGGGTCACTCTGTGCCTCCCTCACTGTACACCCATCTCTCTGTCAGTGTCCCCTTGCCCAGTCTTTCTGGCCCTTCCAATTCCCCATGTAGCCAAGAATGACCTTGAACTTCTGACCTTCCTGTCTCCACCTCCCAAGTGCTGGAAATACAGGGATGTGCTACCATTCCCGGTTTATGTAGTGCTGGGATCGAACCCAGGGCCTCAGGCATGCTAGACAAGCCCTCTACATGCTGAGCCATATCTCTGTCCCTCACTCCTTGTATTAATTACTTTTCTTGTTGCTGTGACAAAATCCCTAACAAAACGCCACTTACTGAAGGAAAGGATTACTTGGGCTCGTGATCTAAGGGTACAGTTCATCAGGGTGGCAAGAGCATGAAGTGGCTGGTCACATTGTGTCCCTAGTCAGGAAGCAGAGAGAGAGGAATGCTGGTTCTTACTCGCTTTGTCCTTTATATTCGTCCTGGGCTCCTAGCCCATGGTGGATCCTCATTCAGGGTGGGTCTTTCCACCTCAAGTAATCCAATCTACAGAAACTGCCTCACAGACATACCTGGAAGTTTGTCTCCTAGGTGATTCTAGATCCCCTGAGGTTGAGCTGTCATACCCTCTGCCTGTGCCTTTCAGTTGTAGCCCTAACCCTTTCCCAGCATGTCTCTGTGAACCCACAGCAAGGCCCAGGGCTGTATGTCACTGCTGTGTCTCCAGGCCTGCCTTGTCCAGGGTTCTGGTAAGTGATCATGGCTGTTGAAAGACTGAATGAGTGACCGATCTGTCCCTTCCCCAGTGCTATCTGTTCCACATGTATGTGGGTGTCCGGGCCGGCGGGGGCATCGGGGACGAGATTGAGGACCCAGCAGGGGATGAATACGAGCTCTACAGGGTGGTCTTTGACATCACCTTCTTCTTCTTCGTCATCATCATCCTGCTGGCCATCATTCAAGGTCAGTGGCCACTGATGTGCATGGAAGGGGTGTGCAGTGCCTAGTCTGTGGCCCAGGCTCAGGCTCCTGTCTGCCCAGACTCCTCACCTGGCTCAGCCCCTCCCTACCATGAAACCTCAGGCAGGTGTTCTCTCTGGGCCTCAGTTTTTCCATCTGTAAAATGGAGGCATGAAGGCCAGGCATGGTGGCACATGCCTCTGATCCCAGCAATCAGGAGGCAGAGTCAGGAGGATTGCCACAACTGCAAAGCCAGCTCGGTGTACATAGCAAGTTCCAGGCAAAGTTACACAGAGAGAAAAAAGAATTGAAGGTGTTAATGGTACTTACCTCCAAGGACCCCATGAAGATTAAGCTATCCATATCTTTGAAGTTTATCTCACAGGAAGTGTTCAATAAAGCACCTACTTTTATTCCACTTAGGAAGTGTGGTGAGATTAGGGGCCAGTGGTAAAAAGGCAAGGTCCGGAGGTGGTGGGTATGAGAGGGATGTCTGCTTGGGCCCTGACCTGTGTCCTGCCACCCCAGGTCTGATTATTGATGCTTTTGGAGAGCTCCGAGACCAACAAGAGCAAGTGAAGGAGGATATGGAGGTGGGTCTGGTCCTGGGATGACTCAGAGAGCTTATGGGGTGCTAGGGGTGTCAAAGAGCACTTGACTCTGACAATATTCACTGTCTACAGACCAAGTGCTTCATCTGTGGAATAGGCAGCGATTACTTCGATACGACCCCACACGGGTTTGAGACCCACACATTAGAGGAGCACAACCTGGCCAATTACATGTGAGCAGGGGAAACACTGGACCATCAGGAGGGTGGGGTGGGGCCACTGAGCCTAGACAAGTTAGAGAAGCAAGGGAGGTGACCATGTGAGTGGGTTTCTAGTCAGCCAATCAGAAGGTAAACATCAGGGCTGGTACTGTACATCAGGGGTAGAGCATTCACCTAGAATCCCCGAGTGAGGGGCTGGGGTGTGGCTCAGTGGTAGAGCCCCTGCCTAGAATCCCCCAGTGAGGGGCTGGGGTGTGGCTCAGTGGTAGAGCCCCTGCCTAGAATCCCCAGTGAGGGGCTGGGGTGTGGCTCAGTGGTAGAGCCCCTGCCTAGAATCCCCCAGTGAGGGGCTGGGGTGTGGCTCGGTGGTAGAGCCCCTGCCTAGAATCCCCAGTGAGGGGCTGGGGTGTGGCTCAGTGGTAGAGCCCCTGCCTAGAATCCCCCAGTGAGGGGCTGGGGTGTGGCTCGGTGGTAGAGCCCCTGCCTAGAATCCCCAGTGAGGGGCTGGGGTGTGGCTCAGTGGTAGAGCCCCTGCCTAGAATCCCCCAGTGAGGGGCTGGGGTGTGGCTCGGTGGTAGAGCCCCTGCCTAGAATCCCCAGTGAGGGGCTGGGGTGTGGCTCAGTGGTAGAGCCCCTGCCTAGAATCCCCCAGTGAGGGGCTGGGGTGTGGCTCGGTGGTAGAGCCCCTGCCTAGAATCCCCAGTGAGGGGCTGGGGTGTGGCTCAGTGGTAGAGCCCCTGCCTAGAATCCCCCAGTGAGGGGCTGGGGTGTGGCTCGGTGGTAGAGCCCCTGCCTAGAATCCCCAGTGAGGGGCTGGGGTGTGGCTCAGTGGTAGAGCATGCTCTAGGCCTTGGCTTCCATCCCTAGAACCAGAATACAAAACCAAACCTGAAAGCAAGTGTGGTTCTGACCTTTTCCCTGTGGCCCTCCATCCCGTAGGTTTTTCCTGATGTATTTGATAAACAAGGATGAGACAGAACATACGGGTCAGGTAAGAGGGCACTAAGGAAGGACAGTAAGTATGGGACACAGTGAGCTTTCAAATAAAGCCTTTTAGGCTGGCTATATATTCTGGGTGCTCCCTTGCAGTGTTCTCAATAAACTAGCCTAAAAAAGAAAAGTAAAAAAAGGACCATCAGCAGGTGGCAGCAGAAAGTTCAAAAGTTCAAATCCATACCAAGCATTTGAAAATGTGACCAGGGGACTCTTGTCTCCCAACCCTAGGAGTCTTATGTCTGGAAGATGTACCAGGAGCGATGCTGGGATTTCTTCCCTGCAGGCGACTGTTTCCGAAAACAGTATGAAGACCAGCTTAGCTGAGCCCGGCAGCTGGCCCTCCCCCACCTCAAGTGCCTTCCTCTCACTGCAAGCCCCTTGTGCTGGGCAAATAAAGTCTACACTACACTTCCTGGCATCATTGTGTTGGGTCATTCAAATGTGGGGGACTGGGCATCTAGGAAAGCAAGTTGACAATGGAGACTGAAGTCATGTTTATTGGAAGACAAAGGCATGCTGTGACCACTAGTGTGTCTGTTAGAGAGGGGTTCTGTGGGAGCCCGTTCCTCATGCCACGCCCCCCAGGGGCTCATTCCTGGATGTAGAGGTTGCTGGGGGCATTGGGGTCATCCGTGGGCCGTGTCTCCACCACTACAGGCCTGAGGAAGGGAGAGATCAATTCACTTATAAGTAGTTATTAAAAGTAGTTAATAGAAGTAGTGCCACCCCAATGCTGGGTTATAGCAATGAATAAATCAGGCATGATGGTCATGCCTGCAATCCCAACACTTGGGAGTCTGAGGTAGGAGGATCAGGAGTTCAAGGTCATCCTCAGCTACATAGGGAATTTGAGGCCAGCCTGGGCTACATAAAACCATCTCAAAATAAATAGGCTGGTTGTGGTGGTACATATCTTTAATCCCAGCACTCTGGGGGAAGATCTCTGTGAGTTCAAGGCCAGCCTGGTCTATATAGTGAGTTCCAGGCCTTCACCCAAACGTCCCTGAGCCCTTGGCTAAACACAGCTTCCTCAACGATTAGGGGCTAGAAAGACAGTTCAGTAGTTAAGAGCACTGACTGACTGTTCTTGCAAGGACCTTGGTTTAGTTCCCAGCACTCATAAGGCAGCTAACAACCCTTTCTAGTTCCAAGGGAGCCAATGCCCTCTTCTGGCCTCCATGGACACTGTATATACATGGTGTACCCACATACAGGCAAAACATCTATACACGTAAAATAAAAATAAAGGAAAAAAAAATTTAAAGAGAGGGGGAGAGATGGTTCAGCGGTTCAGAGTACATACTGCCATTGCAGAGGACCTGAGTCCAATTTGAAGTATCATGTACTGGTGATTGGCAGTTCCCAGTCACCTGTAACTCCAGCTTTAGGGGAATCCAACACCTCTTGGGCACCTGTACTCATGTGCACAGACACAGTCACATACACATGATTAAAAATTAATACAAATAAATCTTTAAAAAGCAAAAGAAAGGGGCTGGGGAAATGGCTGTGTTAAAAGCACTCGCTGTTCTTCCTGAGAACTGAGTTAGATTCCCAGCACCCACATAAAGAAGCTCACAACTGCTTGTAAGTTCAGGGGATCTGACAATTCTGGCCTCCATGGGCCCTGACACACACATTATTAGACATAAATAATTTTTAAAAAATAAATTTTTCTAAATAAAAAAATATAAAACAGTTGGGCGTAGTGGCATATGCCTTTAATCCCAGCACTAGGGAGGCAGAGGCAGGTGGATCTCTGTGAGTTCAAGGCCAGTCTGGTCTACATAGCGA